AGGCTTCTGTGTCATAGAAGCAGCCTCTTAGCCAGCAGCCCCCGTGGATCTGAGACTGGGAAGCTGGTCTCTGGAGCAGAGTGAGGCTGGGCTGAGCCAGGTTGGGAAACGGGCCCAGGGTGGTCGCGAGTCTTTGGGCTGTGAAGTGTCTGGAAGCAGCTGGCTGACTCACGACAGACTCCCTGATTGTTGCCAAGTGCAGCATTTGCAGGCGGAGCTGTGTGGACGTGTCCCAGTGGGTCTGGGGGGTTGGAGGAGCTGTTCTTCTGCCTGGAGCCCCAGGCATGCCTGGGGAAAGGGTCAGGGTTGGACCTGGATCTGATACAGTTGCTGACTGGGGCCTCTGAGGTGAGAAGGCCTGGCCAGTCCTTTGCCCAGCGGCTCAGGCTTCATTCAGGAGGAACCCCAGGGGTAGAGCTCAGTCTTCTGGGATAGGCCCAGCTGCTTTGGCCCACAATGCGACGGTGGTATCTGCCCAGTGACCAGACCCTGAAGAAGTCACTGGGAGAGGACCTTCATTCTTTCCCACCGCTCACCTTCTGGAGGAAACATTGGTAGATTGTCTAAGGGATTGGGCGCTAGAGTTGGCCAGCCCTGCCTTTGAGAGTTCAAATCTAAGTCTCACCATGTGGACCTGGTAGATGACCTTCACAAAGAGGGCATGACCTATACTAGCTGCTGGCCTGACTTCTCTTGCCCCTCGTCAGATGCCAGTGACTGTAATACTAACTTTATCAGAGAGTTGTTGAGAGTCTGCAGGTTTCACGATAGAGCTCAACATAGTCATTCTGCAATCTTTCACTTTATCTAAACACATAGATGTACTGAGACAGCTATTGAGGTATATACATATATCAGGATAAAGATTACTTTTGGGGTGATAATCTGCCTACAGAAATACGTCATAGAGGAAACTAGAGGGGTTGCATGGTTTAGAGAATAAAAGTCTATAATGCATACAGTATTTGTATAAAAATACTGTAGGTATGTCAAGAAATAATTGTGTAGAGAAATACAGCTATAATGAGATTGTTGATATTTAGAGGTACATAACCGTGTGTGTGAAGCTCTGGAGGCCTGTTAGTGTTGGACCGTAAAGGTCAGAACTGACCCATAGCTGACCTCCAGTGGGTTTTCAGAGGCAGTAAATAGCACAGGAGGAGACCGCTCCTCTTTTCCCTACAGAGCAGCCGGTGGATTGAAACTACGTACCTTTGAGTTGGCAGTACAATTCCTTCCCACTAGGCCAGCAGAGCTCCCTAAAGTGGCAAGAAATTGCACTGTCAACTCAGAGTTAGACAGTGTGAACCCACCAGCTGCTCTGTGAGAGAAAGACGGGTAATCTCCTCCTGTAAAGATTTACAGCCTCAAACTCAGTGGAGGGTTGATGTGAGTCTGAATTAACTCGACAACTGGATATCAGCCCAAAAGCCTGTGTGTATATCAGGATGTACAGCTATATGAGATGTATACATCTTTTCTGATACCCCTGTCATCTATTGATAACATACCTACTTCTCTCCAGCACTGTGTCCACCCCTGGAATTTTACCAGCACACAAAGCCAGTCTCCTGAGGGCTTACCATATGAGGGAAGAGGAAAGAGACCAACCAGTAAAAGCTACAGATGATCTATCCAAAAGTGGAAAAGCTCAGTGGGCCAGGATGGGGAGTGGGTAGAGACAGAGAGATGGAAATAGCACAGCAGTGCCCATTCCCTATCAAGTGGCAGAGAGTCCAGGTAGATTCTTGGAGAAAGTGATGGGGCAGCACCTTCCAGGCAGAGGGGCAGAAAGCGAAAATTCTAGAAGCATGTTGCATGTGTTGGAGAGACAAGGAGGCCCGAATAAGTAAGAATCCGCGGAACAAGTCATGGGTGTGTTGACCACGTCAGGGATTACAAATTCATTGCTAGTAAGTCTAGGACCTTTAAGAACAAGCTCTTTGTTTCCTTAGGTTCCCCTGACATCTCACGCAGGATGACAAAATATACCCTGTTGTTGTTATTGTTAACTGCCGTAGAGTCATAGGTGACTTATAAGAGACCCTTTGAACAAAAGACCTGGACATTTGTATAACTTTCATCCTTTCTCCAGGTTCATAGAGTTTCCAGAGGCAAGCTATTTTGGAAGTGGATGCCATTCACTCATGCTTCCAAGCTTGTTTTAATCGGAGAGCTCCAACAAACACTGTCCACCGTGGGTAACCATATCACATTTGGCACATCAGTGTCACAGTGTTCAGCATCACAGCAACCACAAGTTACCTCTGTACGGCAAGTGGACACACCAGGACTGTACAGCCTAGAGGAATGTTTGACCAAAAACAAAAAGTATACCCTAACAAAGGAAATATCTTTTTTAAAAAAAATAAATATTTGTTTTTTACTGGTTTGCTTACAAAGTTTGTATACATTATTTTTCACACTGAGGAAATCTCTTAAAAAATGGATTTTTAATCATTCTACTAACTGAAAGATTGGTGGTTTGAATTCACCCACTTCTGTCAGTGGAGAGAGCAATATATCTGTCAGCTTCTATAAAGATTGCAGCTTTTAAAGCTTGATTGAGCAGCTCTGCTCTCTCAGTAGGGATACTGGGAGGGCGGAATGGTCACTCGGAGGCAGAGGTTTTGGTTTCTCTCACATTCATCCCTGTCAAGTCAGAACCAACTCATGGCTGACCCTCCAGCTGGCTTTTAGACTGTAAATTTCACAAGAGGAGCAGGTGGTGGATTTGAACCTTTGGGTTGGCAGTGCAACTCCTAGTGGGTAGGTCACCAGAGCTTCTGGGTTTGATTTTGTTTGTTGTTGTTATGTGCTGTCGAGTCGTTTTTGACTCATAGCGACCCTATGCACAACAGCCCTAAACCCTGCTCTATCCTGCGCCAATCGCACTGCCTCTGACACACCCATCCCGATTACCCCAGTCACCGAATCAATCCACCTCATAGAGGGTCTTCCCCTCCTGCACTGTCCCTCCACCCTCCCAAACATGATGTTCCTCTCCAAGGACCCGTCCCTCCTGGCAACATGTCCAAAGTATGTCAGACGAAGCCCCAGAATCCTTGCCTCCAAGGAGTAGCTTGGTTTAATCCTCTCCAAGATGAATCTGTTTGTTTTTCTGGCAGTCCAGTGTACATTCAGTACCCTTCTCCAGCACCACAGCTCAAAAGCATCCACTCTCCTTCTATCCTCCCTAGTCATTGTCCAACTCTCTGATGCATAACAAGCGACTGAAAATACCATGGCCTGTATCAGGCACACCTTAGTCTCCAGAGAGACACCGTTGTTCCTGAGTACTTTAGAGAGGTCCCTAACAGCAGACTTTCCCATCGCGATACGCTTGATTTTGTTTATTAAAAAAAAAAAAAGGAAAAAGTTAAAGTTTTTTTGTTTTGTTTTATTCTGTGTGTGTACCATCAAATCGGATCTGACTGGTACAGGAGGAGATGGCCCCTCCTTCTCCAGCAGAGCATCTGGTGGATTTGAACCACATACCCCTGGGATTGCAGTGCAGCTTCTTGCCACTAGGCCACCAGAGCTCCCTTAAAAGTTAAAATTTTGTCTTACATTTCACCCTATAAGGAGAGGGTCTGGGCACTAGTTTCAAGAAGCAGCAGCATGCATCAACCCTAGTGATCAAAGCACTTTCTCAAGTATATACCTTTGTCTTCATAGGTTGTAAGGTTGATGGTTCCATATTCATGATAACAAGGTGATAAATGTAGGTGGAGTGTATGGTGAGAAGGGGCTGGGATATCATGTCACCAAGACATCAGATAATCTCTTCCCAAGAGGGCCAAACACCGCTGCTTCTCACAGGACTTGTCTTTTTTCCTCCTCAGCCCAGCGGTCTGCCCACGAGCTGCCCATGGTTGAAAGACAGGACATCGACAGCTGCCTAGTCTACGGGGGCCAGCAGATGATCCTCACAGGCCAGAACTTCACAGCCGAGTCCAAAGTCGTGTTCACGGAGAAGACCACAGGTCAGCCTTTGCACTCTTGTTCTAATGGCCTTGAGGCGTAGAAAAGCACGTTTTCCTTCTTGGAAGACAGATTACACTGCATGGACTTTTATACCCAGTGCTTTTGACTCACTGTGAGAAGTTTCCTTCCTTTAGTGAAATACTAGCAATGGAGATAATGATCCAGATGTGTTGTTAAGGTCCTTCCTGGTTTTGTTGATGTTACGATGGTTACCTTATTCCTATCCTGCACCACTCTTTTGGTTTGCTGGGTTTAAAAAAGTTTTTTTTTTTCATATAGGAAAACAAACTTAAGCTGTTTTCAATATGATGAGTAGTATCATGATTGCATAAGCTCTGGCCTTGGATATCCTGGCTTAAAAATTTGGCTCTGCTCCTTGCTTGCTCTGTGATCTTAGGCCAGTTCTGTCCCCTCTCTGTGCCTCTATTTTTCTCATAGATGGTATGACTGTAACAGAAGTTCTGAGCCTGTAGTGTGACACCAAGTTTAAATGGGTTACTGCATCTTAAGTAATTATAAGTACAAGATAGTAATTACAGTACAAGATAGATCATAAGCACTCAATAAGTATTGTCCACTTACTTTATTCTAACAGTGCTATAATTTCCCTATTATTTAAAAATAAATTCTAGCATTTTCTTTTATAATTAGCTCATCCAGGAATTAGGTCTTTACTATCCTGATAGTCTTATCTTTCTGGTTTATTAAGAGTTAATTCCTAACAGTGAAATTTTGCATAGTTGGTTTTAGGGCTTTAACTATATAGTATTAAATTACTTTCTCAAAACCCACAGCCATTGTGACTCTAAATTTTTACAGGTGGAGATTAACCCATCTTTCTCCTGCAGATAACCTGGTGGATTCGAACCACTGACCTCATGGTTATCAGCCTAACACATGACACACTAAGCCACCAAGGCTTATCTTCTAGGTCTCTAGAAATTTCTGTGAATAGGATGCTATTTATCATTCCATCTCCTCCCAGAAGCACTATTAAAAAAATAACACTTCAGTTGAACTGATACTTCGTCTCTCTGCATTTCTTTGCTATGAGAGAGTTAATAATTTTTGTTTGCCTGAGTGTGTTCTTTCTTCCACTAATTGCCTGTTAATGGCCTTTACCAATTGGAATATGCTAAAAGGTCATTACCTGATGTCAGAAATAGAACCAGGCAATTTTCTTGTGGATGGATGTGAGACCCAGCTTCTCCCCCCCTTTCCTCCTTTCCCCTGCCTTAATTTATGTGATCATGTGACTTAGTCTAGAAGGGTTGGTGGTGATTCTGTTGGTTGCTTTACTACCCTTAGAGATGGACACTGTCACAGATAGGCCATCCAGTTGTGGGAATCATGCATGGTCTTTCAAACACTATATATCATCATTCTGCAGAGGTACTGAGATGGATTCTGACAGGTGGAAGCAGAAGGCTTTGTTCAGTTCACCCCAAGGCTCCTCTTGGTCTGGCCTGACCCACAGGAATGACTTTCTTATGCTTTGAAAGCTGGAGAGGAGCAGAACTTCTTCTAAAAAATGTTTGAGGAAACTATTGAAGCAAAAACTGCATTCAGAAAAACAGCTGAGGTGCTATGGGTGGAGGGGTTGGATGTGGTTGGGAGGGAGGTAGGAAGCAGAAGGGTCAACCATGAGGGTCCGGTGGCCATAGTGGCGCTGTGTGCTGTGAGGGGTAGGACTGCAGAGCCCGGGACAGCTTGCAGAGGCCAGCCCAGCTCCCCCACCCACCTACGATGCCACCTGTGCCAGGTCTCGTTCCTATGTCCCCTCTGAGACAATGCCTACCTACTCCTCTAGGTGAGGTGTGCATGTCTCATAGAAGAGTACAACTGGGCTCCATTGTTAATACAGTAAAACCTATAAAAGCTGAAGCCTGTTTGTAAGGTGTCCACCTGTCAGTGAAGGAAAAGGCATCAGAAAAGTCATCAGACTGAAACTTGCCAAAGCAGAAAACTTGGGAGACGTGGAAAAAGAAGACAGTTGCTTCGAGTCCTGGCTCTCACAGGGTCAGTGCACTCTGTAGTTGCCGGTGGCCCTCCGTCCCGTTTCTGAGGCGGCAGATCCTTACCAGAGGTGACTTGCATCTTTCTCCTGCAGAGCAGTTGGTGGATTCAAACCAATTCCAGTTCAAACTCCAACACCTAATGCACTATGCTCCTTAGAGCCCTTTGAAGGTTAAAGTCTTGGTCTAGGGCAATGAATCTGAAGGACATCTTTAGATACATTTGTAGAGAGGTTATTTTTCAGCTGGGGGAACATTTAAAAAGAAAACAAACACCAAAACCAAACCTACTTCCTACAGCAAGAATTGGATGAGTTCTCAAGAAAAGCAGAGAGCAAACAGACATGGCTGGAGTTGGGGCTGATTAACCCCAGGAAGGGTGTTTGGATGAGCAAAACCAGAAGGAGCAGCCTCCCAGTGCCACGTAGCGACGTGGCTGTGTTTGGTCTGCACATGGGTAAGGTAATAGGGAGTCAGCGTGGATTCTTGAGGAAGGGAGTGGCATGAAATGTCAGTGACCAAGCAGGCATAGCCTCTCCTGCTTTGATGCCTCTCCAGGGCCAGGAAAAGAGCCTGCAGGCCTTCTGCTAACTTTCAGAAGCAGCATATGGCTTCAAAGTGCCTCATTGGCAAAGGAGAAAATGCTAATAAGATACACTCGCCATTACAACTTTTCTTCACACTGCTGCTTTGGAGACTTTTCTTCCTTTCTCTGCATTTCCTCGGAATAATTTCATATGCATATGAACCGCCCTCTCGGCATCTCCAGGCGGCTGCGAAATTAAAGACATTTTGTCCTCGGCTGGAAGATTAGGCCTCAACGGCCAAGCTCACTCCGCCTGCATTGCAGGCCGGGAAGTAGCTGAGGAAGACCAAGAGTTGGGCCTGCAGTGTGCGCCCAGCTTCATGACCCTTAAGTCAATAAGCAGATGAGTGAGTTGGCAACCATGTCTCGTAAGCTCTAAAGGCCAGCGGTGAGGGGGTGCTCAGAGCACAGGATCTAGGTCTGAACGTCTTGGTTCTCATGTCCAGGGTGACAGTGTCCATGGGGGTCTGGTGGGACTGAAAAGGGGGGAGGATTAAGGAGTTGGAACCTACAAGTTCCTTGTGGAGTTAGGAACCATTTAGCCCTCGACCCTCTTGGGAACTCACTTTTGAAGCTACTTGAGTGTGTCAGTTACCTGTTTGATGAGTGGACGGATGGTTAGGTGGGATGGTTGGATGCGTACATGCAAGCATGAGTTGGTGTATGAACAGATGTGGATGGACAGAAGGGTGTGTGCGGATGGATGAGTGGATGGGTTGGTGGATGGATTACTGGGTGAGTGAAGGAGAATGGACGGGTGAGTGTGTGGGTGGACAGACGAGTGGATGTGTAGGTGGGTGCGGGGTGGATGGATGGGGGTGTGTGTCTGTAGACGGGTGAACGGTTGGGGTGGAGGTGGATGTGTGTGTATGTGTGAAGGGGTGTGGGTGGATGGATGTGTGAGTGGATGTATACATGGGTCAACAGGTGGGTGAGTGCATGTGGAAGGGTAGAAGGGGGGTGGACAGATGAATGTGTGGGTGGGTGAGTGGATGTTGATGGGTAGAAGGGTGTGTGGATTGATGGGTAGGGATGTGGGAGGACAGATGAGTGTGGGTGGATGTGGATGGATGGATGAATGTGTGGGTGTATGGATGGGTGGGTGAGTAGATGTGTTTGGGTAGGAGGGTGTGTAGGTGGATGGATGGGTATGAGTGGATAGATGAGTGTGTGGGTGGTTAGGTGGGTGGGTGAGTGGATAGATGGGTGGGTGAGTGGATGTGTTTGGGTAGAAGGGTATGCGGGTGGATGGATGGGTGGGTGAGTGGATGTGGACGGGTAGAAGGGAGTGTGTGTGAGTGGATGTGTTTGGGTAGAAGGGTGTGTGGGTGGATGGATGGGGGATGTGGGAGGATGGATGGAGGAACAAATGAATGAACAAAGGAGCAGCTTTGATTTGCCACCTCTCTGGGTTTCAGAAGGGATTTCACATGTTTATCTCATGAAACAAGGAATATGTAGTCTGTTCCCTTTGAAAGGTAGAATTTTATCAAGAATAAGAATGCTAACCCCTCTGTTATTAAGCAGCATCCCTGAGCAGGGCCTGTGTACATTAGGCTCACCTGCCCTTTGGCATCTGTGGAAGGTAGCAGGGCAAGGAGAAGTCAATGGACTCACCTCCTGATCCTGTCCAACCCTGCCTCACTGTACAACCTCCCTCAGCCTGGATTTGCCCCTCTGCAAAATGGAACGAATCACAGTCCCTTGCTTCTAAGTTTTAAGTGCAGAGGTGAGAGGCGTGTAGTTAGCATGGAGTAGTACGTGGAGTGTGAGCTGCTGTTGTCTCTCTCATGTGACCTGTTCTTGGAATACTGCTGCTTTTAGGCGCTGTTGCTTCTGGTCCAGATCAGTCCCCTCTATGACAGCAGAGCTGCCCCTTCCTGTGTCATCCGGACAGTTGTTGCTGTGTTTGAGCTCACTGTGTCCAGTCCGTCTTGTTGAGGGTCTTCCTCTCTCTCAGCATAAACAGAAACAAAGCTCCTCCTCCTTTAAGTCTCTTACAACTCGTGGTGACCCTCATCTTTTCCCCATGAGCTGACTGATGGATTTGAACTGCCGACCTTCCAGTTACCATTCCAACACTTAACCTTACAGTGTCACCAAGGCTCCTTTATTCCTCAGCATACACAACCCCTGGTCCTGTGATAGGCAGGCTTGGTATGCTGTCCACAGTGCTCTGGGTTCAGATGGCAGGAGCTCAAGTCCTTGCCCTGTCACCTGGATGCTGTGTCACCCCAGGCAAGTTGTTTTGCTTCTCTGCGCCAACATTTCCTCATTTGTATGATCAGCTTCTAGTAGCATCTATGAAAGGTTTGAGAACATAATGGTTAAGTGCTTAGCTGCTAACCCAAAAGTTGGCAGTTCAAAATCATCCAGTATCTCCAGGGAACAGGGCCTG